TAACAAACTCCCTTACCCGATCTCTCGGTCGCAAGACCGTGACTTCTCCCTTCTCAGGTTTTCTTGATGTTTACCTTTCCCTCCATATGGGATAAAAGACGTTCGATGGCGACTTTATTGTTTGATGATTTTCAGCCGGTTGTTTCAACCGACACCATATATCATAGAAGCCATTTTTCTTCTGTCTATGTTGTTTTTCAAAAATTCTTGAAAGGCATCATCATACTTACTTATAATATTTTCTAGTGTGGATGTTTCTAAAATCATATTTTCTTCTTAGCTATGAGCTTTAAGAAAGTTTATTTCATTTTTTAATTTTAAATTATTTGCTTTTTGAACAAAAACTTCCTTTTCTAACTTGTTGTATTCTTCGATTCCAATCTCATGAACCTTTTGCAGGTTTTTTAGTTTGTTTCGAAGCTTCTGATACTTTTCTAAGGTTTCAGATAAACAATACTCTAATTCAAAATGTGTCAAATCAGAAAATATCTCTTCAGAGTTAGACACTATGTCGGATGAGGATTCTTTAGAAGTTGTGGCCAAAAGTGCCAGATTTGCATGCTCATCTTCTGACTTTGAGTCTAATGTATCAGAGTCATCCCATGTTGCTATAAGACTCTTCTTTTTGCTTGAGGGAGTTATTTTTTGTATTGGTATCTTCTAGAATTCTCCTTGTTTAATTTTGGACAAGCATTTCTATAGTGTCCAGATTCTTTGAATTCATAGCACATCACTTCCTTGCTACTTTTTCCTCGAGAGAAGGAGTCTGGAAGATCATCGTGGTGTCTGAATCTTCTAGAACTATTCTGCCTTTTCTTCTAGAGTTGTTTGATTCTTCTGAAGAGAAGAGAAAGATCATCCTCATCATCAGAATCTTCATCCCCAGACCTTTCTGTGATTTCTTCTCCAGCTTGGAATGCTTTGTTCTTAGCTGGCTTCAATCTTTCTGATATGGATTTGAGTGTTATTGTTTTTCCTTGATTTTGAGGTTCATCTTCCTCCAGTTCTATTTCATGGCTCCTGAGAGAGATGATTAGTTCTTCAAGACTTATACTATTTGAGATAAGTAATCATTGTGTTTTCCTCGAGAATCATGATTTTTCATCTGATGCTTCTGAATGCATCTTTTGAATTTGTTTTTGATCACATGATTTTATATACTGATAGTTTCTGCAGAACTAGAGTTTTGGTCAGCATTGCTTTTGATGTTGAGCTTTCTTTAACATTGCTAAAGTGCTTCTGATTTGGTCTGTGTGAAACTTTTGATGTTTCATTAGATACACATGCATTTTATAATACTTGACATGCACACATATAATTCCACATATAATTGTTATCATCAAACCTTAGAAATGGTTAGAAGCTTTCTTGCTCTAACGGTTAGGTCTCATTTTGTGAGATCTCTTTAATTGAACACAATATTTCAACAATTTGGCCTATGTAATACTCCCTCCATCCCAAAATATAAGAGAAAAAAATTACATTTTAATTATTCCAAAATATAAGAGAAAATATCAACTTTCATTCTTTTCAAGATAAAATTAAATATAAATTGTATTTAATTTACCTTCTCTCTCATCTTTTCTATAACCATCAACCAATTAGAATTGTTTTTACATCTTTCTATGCATTTTTTCAATAAAAACTACAAATCAAATAATTATATTTATACTTTTCTTAATATGTAATTTTATTTTTTCTCTCTTATATTTTAAAACAGAGGAAGTATATGTCTTCTAAAAAAATTCAAGGATACAAAAAATACGGTTTCATGGTAAAAGAAAAAGGTTAATATTACTTTTTCCCATTTAATATACGTGACTTTTGCCCATATAAAAATTGAAATTTTAAATTTCTTTAAAAATTATAAGTTTAATTGCAATTTTTTTCCTTCTATTATCCATTTTTTTATCCCTCTATTTTAAAATCTAAATTTTTAGTCTCTATATTTTAATTTTTTTGAGGATTTTAGTCCCCCTGCAAATTTAAAGGCAATTTTTAATGACACGACACTCACATTGATGATGTGTAAGTGCTAGTTCAACAATGAATCGTTCAAAAAAGCTATTTTATTTAAGATTTATGTTGAACATGTCATCAATGTGAGCTCCATGTCATTAAAAATTTCCTTCAAATTTACAGTGGGGACTAAAATCCTCAAAAATCTAAAATATAGGGACTAAAATTCCAGATTTTAAAATAGGGAGACCAAAATAAAAAATAGATAATGTGTGTGTGTGTGTGTGTGTGTGTGTGTGTGTGTGTGTGTGTGTGTGTGTGTGTGTGTGTGTTTGTGTGTGTGTTTGGATGTTGATTTGTGGTATTTATTATTACTCTTTACTTATAAAACTGTCATAATGAAATATAGGGCAAGCTGACCCATCAGGCAACATGTCCCATTAGAAACTGAGTCAGACTTATTTTTTATAGCTCATTAAATAATTGAGCTGGTCCAAAACTTCAATTCCTTTATATATTGAGAATTTCTTTGTACACCTCTTAGGGGTGGGAAAAAATTCCTGAAAATCCGAAAATACTCTTCAGAGATATATCTTTGAACACACCCCAAATCAAGGTGTTTCGAAGATGTATCTCCGAAAGCATCCAAAATATTAAATTTTGGGATGAATTCAGAAATGCATTTCTAAAAATATCCAAGATAGAGTTCTGTCTCTGCATAATTCGGAAATACATTTCCGAAATAAATAAAAAACAATCAGGGAATGTTTCGGAAGTGTACTTCTGAAAACACCTTATTTTTGTTAAAAAATAAGGGGTTGTTTCAGAAGTGTACTTTCAAAACATGCCCTAACGCATGATAAGAATTATTCGGACCAAATTGCTCCAAATCTTCTATAAATAAGGTGTCTAAACCATTTCTTCAACATCATACACCACACACCAGTTATCAAAATATTGTGACGTTCCCAGTTACCCATTTATAACAACATATAATGTTAAATTTATGTTTCAATATCTATGTAATTTCGACTTTCAATGTTAAATTTATGTTATTGTTTATATAATATATATGTAATATCAATGTTTCAATATCTATGTTATATCTACATAATTTTCTGTTTCAAGGTTTCTGTTTTACTGAAATCATTTAATGTCTATTTCAGAAATATACATCTGAAATATAACATTGGATATCTTCGGAAATACATCTCCGAATTGACCCAAAAAAAAAAAAAAATTTCGTAACTTCGATATTACATTTTCGAAATCATCTTAGAAAAAAAATGAAATTTCATAACTTCGGCAATACATCTCCGAAATTACCCTAAAAAAATAAACTCTGGTGTGTTCGGAGACCCATCTCTTAATTCTAGGGATAAAAACAAAAGTTCTTCAGAGATGATTAAAAGATGTAAAGGTGGAGAAAGAAATTCCCTATGTATTTTGATCTATTGGGCCGAAACAAATTAAGTTATACCAACCCATTTGACATTTCTACGCTTACTACCAACTCATTTGACAACTCTACCCTTATTGGTGAGTGACATGACTTTAGATAATTTACTTTCTATATTATATATTTATTAACAAATAACTATTAAATTGTTCTTGACGATAACTTGAGACTTTTGAAAATTAATGTTGAAAAAAATGCATACATATTTAAAAATATTTAAATAATATTCAAACATATTTAATAACAAACTAAAATTATTTATTTTAAAAATAATATTCAAACACACTAAAATATTTATTTTCAATAATATTTAATTTTATTATTTTAAAAATATTTGCAATTGTACCTTATATGAAATTTTATTTGAACATTCCTTAAAATATTCCAAGGGGCGTCAATAAGACAAAAACAATAACATTTAATTATATAACTATTAATTTTTAAATAATATGTTACTCCTTCCATTCTTTTTTAAATGTCATTTAAAATTTTTTTATTTGCATTTAAATATTTTTTTATAATTTAATGTTATAATTTGTCAATTATATTTTTTACTTTTTCAATAACTATATTTTATATTTTTCATAAAATTAATGTTATTAGAAAGAGAGAGTATATGAATTGATTTATTTTAAAAAATAAATAAATGAGAGTATAATAGTAGAAAAAATAACTCTAACAATCTATTATTTTGATTGAAGAATTTTATCTTAAATTAACACTTAGAAAGGAATGGAGGGAGTAACACATTTACAAGTATATATCCAAACATATTTAATAATATGAAATCTTTTATTGTTTTTCAATATTTTAAAATAATTTATATTTTTAATTTGTATAAATATTTATTTGAACCTTCTTTCTCAGCGAGCAATTGCTAGTTGGATTAAAAATACAAGCTGTTATAAATCAACAATTAAAAAAAAAAAACCTTCATTCTCAACATATTTCAAGAGGTCTCACTATGGCAAAATAAACTTCTAATTTTTCATTTATTTATTTTATAATACTATTTAAAATATTTAAATATGTTTGAATATTATTATAGTTTGTTTGATTTTAAATATGTTTTAAAATTGAATACTATTAAAAGTATATTTAAATATGTAAATATTATTTTAAAAATTAAATAATTTGATTTTATTATTAAATATGTTTGAATATTATTTAAATGTAATTTTGATATGTATTTTATTTGAATATTCGTTTTCGAAATATTCCGATTAGTCATGGATATATCAAAAAGAGTAATTTAATAATTAATTAATATATAATACATGAGAAGTTATTTATCGAAAATCATGTGTACGGATTCTCCCCTGCGAAATGTCTTCTGCCATTAAATATCATAGTTTTTAAATTACAAAGTTGAATTTTTTTTACAAGTGGAAAAAAATAATATTAACTCACAAAAAATTACAATAATCCAAATAAAACAAAAGACTGCTAATTATGACAAATGTAAAACAGGATAGTATTCATGATCAGCTTAATTGATGAGCTAATAAAAACTGCATAAAGCTCGATCGAGCTGAAAAGATGAAAAATAAAATAGATTGATTAATCATTGTAGTCGTACTAGTTATGAAATTAGTTGGTGACCTCTTCCTCCCCGACTTGGACCAGAATATGCTTGAACCATGACGAAGCGATTGTGGGGAAAAGTAGTAATTGAATACCTTGAGCCATCCACACACGATGATGGTGAGAAGAAAAATAAGATGATAATAAGCACCAAAATAATATTGAATGTGATGAGAAGATGTTGATGTGTGAACAATATCATCTCTAGATCAATTTTGCTAGCTCTTTACACACGTAGCAATAACTAAGTTTGTGTTTTCCAGTTCCTTGTGGATTGACACATATATAATGGAGGTGCATTTGAAACGAGTTAGTTATTTTATTTATTATTGTTGACTTGTCATATCTTGCTGGGTTGAAAAATAAGACTATAATGGCACATAAGTCATGAGAGCGTGTAAATGACCTAATCTTTCATGTAATCTATAATACTTATACTAATATCTTTTTTTGAGGGAGATAACACAAATGAATAAGATGAATTTGTGATTCAGATTATTTAATTTCGGTATTTCTCGGTTGTGTGAACGAGAATGTTATGTGAGAAGACAAGGCATGAATTATTTATGAAGAAGGAAAGCCCACGAGATTGAAATGTTCATAGCTTTTTTAGTACATAAGGCGTACAAGAATAATATATTGTGTTGACATTTCATAAACTTAATGCCTTGATGGCGGTCTTTTTTCAAACTCATAGCTCACACGGACATAAATTATAACAGAGAACATGGAAAACAACATGATTTGTTTTAACGCTGGATATTGATTCACGTGGTGTCATAGACCCCACATATTGGTATAAACGGTAGGTAGGTAGGTAGGACACATAAAATTTTTTTCCCTAATAACATACATAAAAAACAAATAGATTTATGTCGAATTGTAATTTTTTTTATCAAAGCAGTATGTTGTTCGACAGAAAGAAAGTTGTGTCGAAGTTGATGTGTGCATCGAATTGTTTAGCGGTCGAAGTGTCAAAGGAGATAACCTCGATATAGAATTTTGACATAGATCAAAATAGATAATTTACGCTTTTGTGCTTTGGGCTTTGACTTAGGAAGCAAACTAACCTAAAATTATAAATAGAGGGAATAATCTATATTTTTGTAACAACTTGTGTTCAGAGAATTTGAAGTTACAAGTGAATAAGATTTCCCACAGTTTGTGGACAGAGATAAACTCTGCAGAAAATCACCATCTTCTCCTTATTTTCGTTCAAACCCTAATTCTTCCATTCATTATTATTGTGTATTAATAGTAATCTTGTTCATCAAGATTTATAGAAATTCTCCATAGATTTGGTGGATTTTCAACATCTGGTATCTAGAGTCCCGTTTGAGCGATTTAAGGCAAGAAAATCACGATGGCAATGAATCATCCGAATGAGCATTTTCCAGCAATTCTTACAATTTTGAAAGTTGATAACTATGAGAATTGGAACAAGCAGATGAAGGTTGTGCAATATTGTCAAGATCTTTGGGATCTTGTGAAAGAAGGATTAGAACCGCTTGTAGAAGAAGAAACGAATGAAGTAGAGGCAACACACAAAGAATTGAAGAAGAAGAAGAAGAAGACGAATTAAAAAGCTCTTTTTATAATTCATCAATGTTTGAGTCCAAACAATTCGAAAAGGTTAGTGATGTATAATCTGCAAAAGAAGCTTGTGAAATTTTGGAAAAGTCTTTTGGAGGTGTAGAAAAGGTGAAAGAGGTGAGGTTACAAGCTCACAAAAAACGTATGAATTGCTTCAGATGGAAGAAGGTGAAAGCATAACTGATTTCTTCACTAGGATTATGAAACTGGTGAATCAAATCAAAGTATGTGGAGAAACGTGAATTTTTTTTGGAATAACCAAATATTAAAAAAATTTCGCAAATAACCATGTTTCGGAAAAAATTACGCAAATAACCATGTTTCAGATGACTCTCCAAAGGAGGAGCCATCTCACTTGGCGCCTCCACTAAGCATTTAGCCCTAGGCGCCATCCCACTTGGCGCCTCCTCTCTCTTTTAGCCAAGTGAGATGGCGCCTATACTTTAAAAGTGAGAGGAGGCACCATCTCACTTGGCTCCTAGGGCAAAATGTTGTTTTTATAAATAATTAGTCCGTTTCTCCGTCATTTCTCACACTTTCTTGCACTGTTTTATTATTTTTTACTCTGTAATTTGTGTCATGACATCGCCCATGATTTTTACCAGAGATGGTTACGTTATCTTCTCTGCCACAAAACCTCCGATAAAAATGAAATTCTGGCACATTCACTCCATGAAGCGTCTGAAGCGGGAGTTGATGCGATGGCTAGATGGAGACATCGTGGATGGGGAAAAATTAGAAGGATTTAGCGAAGAAGAACAACAACCTCACATGCGACAAGAAGACCTAATGTTTGGTTGGAGGAAGTCAAAACAGACAGCGACGTAATGTTGATGATGCATGGGTCATATGATATTGTTTTAACAGTTGTAATTTCGTAGACGGAATATCGTGTTTTTTTTTCTTGTTCACGCAATGTTTATTGTAAAAAAATACTGTTAACGAAAAACCCTAATGTTTACAACATAATAAAGAAAAGATTTTATGTAATACAATTTTTATGTGGTTGAGGCAGTAGCCCAATTCAGACAATTTTTGCAATTGTGTCCGACCTGACGACATAAACCACACTTTCTTTCCAGCTTGTCAAGGGAGTCCATTTCGGTTGTGATGCGCTTACTTTTGGGACGACCCTTTTTATTCCTTCGCATTTGGTCATTGTGCCATACTATTTCGCTGTCGTATGCAGGCCAATAATCTGGTTTTGCTACCAAAGGGAAGCTGTTGTTGTAAACGTTGAGCAACGTTTCAGATTTGTAAATGTGTGACAGAAGTTGTAGCACGTCTTGATGATTATAGGCACATGCGGAAATGACATGAGAGCAAGGCATACGAAAGGCTTGAAACTTGCCACAATCGCACCAACGAGAAGGTAGTACAACCCTATATTCTTGTCTTGGCAGGCCCTCGTTGTGGTCGATTTTCTCTTTCACAATGAAGTTGTGGCTGTGTCGGTCAAACCGTATAACCATATGGGTGTTGGCTTTGGCACTTTCTGCCTTAATGTACTTCATGCATCTTTCACTCCATAGTTGTCCAGATTGCAATACCGCATTCCACATTTCACCTCTTTTGGCAAACAATGAAGCCATCCTAAAATATGTTGATGTTACCAAAGTAGTGACCGGGAGGTTTCGTATGCCTTTGAATACCCCATTCATCGATTCAATTAGATATGTTGTCATGTGGCCCCATCTTTGGCCATTGTCATATGACCTAGTCCGTTTTTCTACCGGAATATTGTCGATCCACCTACCGGCTTCCGAATTTGACAAACGGATCTCATTGCAATAATATTTGAATGTAGGTTGTGTCAATGCATATCCCACATTCATAACCGTTTTCCTTAGTGTTTTGTCTTTGATCTCCCTCGTGAAATTTTGGACGATATGTCTAACGCAATAGACATGCGTAGAAGGAGGGTCATGCCAACCATTTTCCGGATTATTGTATGAACTTTCAATGGATGCATGTCTATCCGAGATCTAAAAGAGATCTGGTTGAGGAGCCACGTGTGTCTGCAGATTTTTCAGAAAAAAGCTCCAAGCACCACCAGTCTCCCCCTCGACTAGGGCAAAGGCAATTGGGAAAATGTTGTTGTTGCCATCTTGTGCAACTGCCATCAGTAGCGTGCCTTTGTATTTCCCATACAACCAAGTCCCATCAATTTGTATAATTGGTTTGCATGACGCAAACCCTGTGATGCAAGGTTGAAAATCCCAAAACACTCGATTGAATATTCCATTTCCGTTGAGTTGACTACCATCCGGGGCATATGCTGGAACTGTTTCCAGAATGTAAATAGTACCCAGAGAATAAGTCTGAAGTGCATTCAGGTAGCGAGGAAGTTCTTGGTATGACTCCTCCCAGTTTCCATATACCTTTTCAATCGCCTTGGTCTTTGATAACCACGCCTTTCGGTAAGACGGAGTATAGTTAAAAACCGTAGTGATATGGGAGATTATGGTTTTCACCTTCAAAGATGGATCATTGCTGACGAGTGGTAGGATTTCTTGACAAATGAGATCATAATTAAGTTTTCGATGATCCTGTGATTGAGTAGAACTGACACAAGTGTGGATAGACATGGAACCTATGAACTAACAATCACCTCTTAATCTGTATGATGCAGTGAGCTTGAACATACAATCAGGGTGGACACACTTGATATTGTACCTTTTTGGATTTACACGGTCCACCTTAAAATCGACCGAGTTGAGCATGTGGAATTTTTTGATGGCTCTGATACATTCTTCTCTGTTACGAAATTTTTCTTTCTCTTTTAAGTTTTCATCCGACTGCATATACGGATTGAAAAATAAATCAGAAGACGATTCATCTCCGCCCATGTTAAAGTTTGTCATGTACGGAGGTGGGGTGTAGATCTCGTTTGCAGGAATACCAGGTATCCCTTCGTCTTCGAAATAATCATTGACCATTTCGTCAAACTCCAACTCGTCATCTTCTTCTTCTTCTTCTTCAACTGCATCTACTTCAGCTTGTTCGGTCTCCAAAGGATCAACCACTTGTGACAGCTGAGGCTCTCACAGCATAATGTACAACTCAATAGAGTCATACCCAGAATACTCATGACTGGAAAACATATTCTGAAGATCTTCTTCATATTGAACCTCAACCTTATAAAATATTATTTGGTTGTTACCAAAAAAAATCAGATTCTGATAAATTATTTGTGTCACGGGGCCTCGTCCATGTTTGGCCTCCAATCATTTTTTGAAGTACAAGAATTTGGCTTTCTTGTTTAAACAAAATCGGATGTTGTTTGTGTCTCTAAACAGAAACCCAGAGGTGGGACAAATGTATGTCTCACCGTTGAAATGTGCACTGATGACATATTGGGGTGCAAAGGCCATTGTGTATGACTGTTTGAAGGTTTGAAGGTTGGAAGGTTTGAAGTTTATGAGTTATTTGTAGGAATTTTTGAATGTTCTAGTGTTTGAGAGATTAAGTGAATCAGTGTTTTGATAAATGTAAGACTAAATAGGTCATACTGAATTTGAATTAACCAAGGTTGTAACCTCTAAGGCTCCTCCCATCATGTCCAATAGTGTTACATGCATTCAGAGATGCCTTCTCCAAGGCTGCCAC